ACATCTATCAAAATCAGATGTTCACCCACACGCTTCAGCAGAATTGAAACTATACAAAGAGAATAATAACGTTCCTGGGCGGAACTACACAGCAGTATATGAATAAAGGCAGAATCCACAAATAAAACAAGCCTAGCAGAGTTGCAATTTCACCAACCAAAGAAATGTTACTCCACACACTGGTCATCCCACGGGGAAAATATTCGAAACCCGCATCCCTTTAGCAATGCAAGGATCAATCAATCAAACAAACCAACAATAGAAAATAAAATAAAACAGTGACACAAAAAAAAAAAAAAAGATTCACGTGATGATCTCCCTCACGAGCCAATCCAAACTCGGATACGCAAAGTACAGAATTAGGAATGACGGCATAGCAAAGACGACCGTGATGAGCACGTACAGCGCCAGGATAGCCGCGCTCGCAGGTATGGCGTAAAGAATGATGAGCAGAAAGATTATGACGAGCGGAAACTTGGCAGTTAGGTGCACAAAGAAAACGAGCGACTTCCTCAGAGACACGTGCAATCTCTCAAGGGAGAAATAATTATTATTATAATTATGATCAATAGAGTGAGAGTGATGACGAACAGAATCCGCCAAGTGCTCCGAATGGTGACTGTTGCTCACTTTCACGTGGGTCATGTGGTCTCCACAGGCGCCAGACGAGCCGGATTTCACCCGATCACCGTTCATGCTCTCGAGCATCCACAGAAGGAAGAAGTTCTTGCGAGGAAATTTCAAATTCCCGCGGTAGACGAGGCGGAGGGAAAGGAGGTTGCACCATGGGCAGGATATGAAGAGAGGGAGCTGCAGGGGTAGAGTCGGGAATTTGACGACGGCCCACTGAAGGCCCATGATGCAGTTCTTGCATAGAGTGTGCCCGCACCACAGGACGTAGGGTATGTTCTCGACGAGGTTGAAAGACTCCCAGCATATGGGGCACTCGAGACCCTCCTCGTCCCTGCTGGCAGCTGAGGAAGCCTCGTCATCCGAGCAGTCGGTCGAATACTGATGAGCTGTGGGCTTGCGTAAGTCGTGCTTTAGGCCTATGGTCCCAGCTACGCGGTTCCACATCTTGCGGGCTGAGCAAGGGACGGCTGAGTAAATACAATTTTTCGGATTCACATCGAGTCTTCAGTTGCCTGCGAGATATAGTTTTTTAGAAAAAAGGAAGGTAAATGGGCTGTATATTGTGTTGAGATACGTAGTTAGTAATATACAATCAACTTCAAGATGAGCACATAGCTTTGACAAAAGATTCCATATGTTTCACAGAAAGGATGGTGAATAATGAGTTGCTAGAAGTAAAACGGGCAATAAACCATCTATCGTGGCCTTTTAGGTTGACATGTTCGTCAACATGAAGATGCAGTGCTCAGCATCGAAGACTATCAGCCAATTTTCTCCATATTAAAATTGTCACAAAGTCCATATTTCATACATCGAGTCAAAACTAGTATAAAATTTAAGGGAAAAAAATAGGCTTGAGGCAGGAGGCCTTACTCAGATGACAATGATGCATAAAATTTCCAGCTATATACCAATTACTTGCATGCACATTCGAGTACAAGGAACAGTAGAAGAGTAATACATTCACTGGTCGGTAATTCTATTCCCCTAAAAATAACAACCAACTACGTTCACACAAATTTTCGAAAGGATGCCAATATGAGGATTAACTTTTCTGAAGTTCTTCTGTTCTTTACTTTTCATCTGGAGCTTCAAACAATGTTAAAAACAACAAATCTGTCAATACGAGAAATCAAGTCAACTCGTTTACGCTCACAAGAACATTTAGATCCACTCTGGATCAGCACAAGCAAATGGTTATACACAGCAAGAAATAATGTGTTCAAAAAAAGTTGAAGCTGCTGGAAAATAGGTTTTCACAGGCTTTATGTTTCCTTTTTATTTTCCTCCTTGGCAAAATACCAAAAGCCACAAACAAACTCAACGAGCATAGATTGATCGGTAACTTTCGAGCAGCAATCACCATCGTAAACTCCAATTACATACCTGATCCCATGAAATAAACACCAATCCCTGTATAGCAACTACACAAAACCTTAATCCTCACCGAATCATTATCAGAAAATCCAATTACAAAACCGATCTCAAAGAATGATACCCAAAGATAACAGGAGTACTAACAATTTGCGCTAAAGCTGCATAAGAATGAATCGGAAAGTAAACGAACGAATAAAATTAGATGAACTCAAACGAGAATAGACATAATCAGATTGAAGTTCCTGAAAGGCAGCGTAAAAAAAATGCGTAGATCGATTTACCGAATGTGGAGACGAGATGGAGAGAAAATGGCGACAAAGGACAGAGTCTTCTGTCTCCTCCGTCGACACTGTAATTGGGGCTCCGAGATAGAAGGCTAAAACTTCAACCAACCTCAACGGCATTTACGTCTCGGATTTTTCATTCGGGTCGCGGGCCAAATACCATTTTTTTTTTCATGGTTGTCGTTGTTTTTATCCACTAGTGCATAGCCCGTGCGATGCACGGGATACATATAATAAATCAATCATTTCTATAGGACTTGTAGTTTAGGTGGAAAAAAACGATAGGCTTGGATCATTCATATTTCACATCTATTAATAAGTGATGTTTATTTTAGCCAGACAATTAACATATTAATTAATGTATTATTTCGCAAATACGTTATACTAATATAACTTGATTTTAGAATATATATATTTTTTCATTGACATAAGAAAAAATAAAAATTTTATTTATTCATGTTCAACATATAATACTCAATTATTATTTTATTATAAAATTTATAGTCATATAATTTCATTATTATTATTTATAAAAGTAGTCTTCTTCGTATTAATTTATGTAATGAAATTCAAAATAAAATTTTGTGTATAAATGTTTACAGAATACATACACATATTTTTTAGAATTCAATTTTCTCATAATAATTTTTTAAGAAAATTGATTTAGCAATTGCCAAAAAATAAATCTCTTACATAATCAAGAGATTTTTTTTAATTTTCATCCTAAGGCTTTATAGTTTATTTAACATACTATGCAATAGAAAAATATTTTACAATAAGTTCATTTTTGAAACATAACAAAAAAAAAGTGATAAAAACACTATCATAGTTGACAATAATATACAAATAAATAACATGTCGAAATTTTAAAGAATAACTCATATAATTTTATTATCTAACCATCAATAAAATTATTTAATGATGTGATCATTATCTTTTAAATGATAAATAATACTCCCTCTTATCTTTTTTATTTGTCATTCTAGCTTAATTGACTATTGAATAAATAAATGTCATTTTGGCTATTTTGTTCATATTTTTCCAATTTTAACCCCTCCATCTAATTTCCAATGTCTCTTCATATTCTATCTCTTTCTTGATTTTTCACAAATCTTCATTTACTTTTTACACTAATCATCATTAATTGTGTTACTTAATTGAGTAGTAGTTTTCATTAAATAGGGGTAATATTGACAACAACAAAAATTTTCAATTAGAGTGCTAGTTGCTAGAACGACAAATAAAAAAGATAGGAGGGAGTATTAACCTTTTTAAAAAATATTCATTTTATATAATTAAATAAAGGTTAAAAAATATTACTCGACAAATATTAATTATAATGGATATCAGTAAAATCATTGCATATATTTAAGGAAAATCTTTAAGATCATATCTGGATAGTAAATGTAAATACGCAAGCATTTAATGCATATAATAAAAAATTTCTAAAAAAGGTTTGCATTAAATGTGTGTTGACTTTTCTTGCTACTATTTTTGGTAAATAGGTTGGCTTTTAATATATATATAGATTTCTCGTTGCAAATATTTTGGGTAAATTGCACCAAACCCCCTTATAATATACTAAATCTGCACGTTTTCCCCTTTGTAATTTAAAAATTGCGTCAAACCTCCTTCTATTGTATATCTACGTGCATACTCGCCCTTTGATGTTAACACCGTTACTTTACTACTGGTGGTGTTACTTTTTCGTCGAATTTATCATTATACTCTTACTTTATCGCTGAATTTACTATTATGTTATTATACCCTTATTTTATAACTAAATTTACCATTATGCCATTACTTTATCCTGAATTTACTATTATGCCATTATTGGCAAATAATATATATATTCTAAATTATATATAAAGAAAATAATATATATATATATATAACATATATATAATAG